CACCATGACCAAGTGGGATTCATCCCAGGAATGCAACGATGGTTCAACATACGTAAATCAATAAATGTAATCCACCATATCAATAAAGCCAAAAATAAGAATCACATGATCATTTCTATAGATGCAGAAAAAGCCTTCGATAAGGTCCAACATTTATTCATGATAAGAACTTTACAGAAAATTGGAATAAATGGTCTTTACCTCAATATAATAAAGGCCATTTATGACAAACCAACAGCCAGCATCATACTAAATGGCCAAAAATTGAAAGCCTTTACTTTAAAATCGGGCACAAGACAAGGATGTCCTTTATCACCACTCCTATTTAATATAGTACTGGAAGTACTAGCCAGAGCAATTAGGCAAGAAAGAGAAATAAAAGGGGTAAAGATAGGAAAAGAAGAAGTTAAATTATCATTGTTTGCAGATGACATGATACTCTACATAGAAGACCCCCTAAACTCCATTGAAAGACTCTTAGATACAATAAATAAATTCAGTAATGTGGCTGCATACAAAATCAATACTCAGAAATCAACAGCATTCCTATACACGAACAACAAAATTACAGAGAGGGAAATAAGAGAAACTGGACTATTCACATTAGCAAGCAAAAAAATGAAATATTTAGGAATTACTCTTACAAAAGAAGTGAAAGACTTATACAGTGAAAATTATAATACACTGAAAAAGGAAATTGAAGATGATCTCAGAAAATGGAAAGACATCCCTTGCTCATGGATAGGAAGAACAAACATTGTGAAAATGGCCATTCTCCCAAAACTGTTATACAGATTCAATGCAATCCCAATAGAAATACCATCAACATACCTTATAGATCTAGAGAAATCACTCCTAAATTTCATCTGGAACCAGAAGAGACCTAGAATCACAAAGGCAATTCTAAGCAGCAAATACAAAGCAGGAGGCATCACAATCCCTGACTTGAAGTTATACTACAAAGCAACAGTAGTAAAGTCAACATGGTATTGGAATCAAAACAGAGCCGAAGATCAATGGAATAGATTAGAAGATACAACCACAACTACGAACACACTCAACCACCTTATCTTTGATAAAGGAGCCAAGCAGGTTCACTGGAAGAACGACAGTCTCTTTAATAAATGGTGCTGGAAAAACTGGCTCTCCATTTGCCGAAAACTAAAGCTAGACCCATGTCTATCACCATGTACTAAATTAAAATCTAAATGGGTCAAAGATCTGAATATTAAAACAGAAACACTAAATCTATTGGAAGACAAATTAGGTAGAAACCTTAGAGACATAGGAGTAGGTAAAGAATTCATGAACAGGACTCAAACCGCACAGGAAATACTTCCCAGAATCAATAACTGGGACCATTTCTTATTAAAAAGTTTCTGCATGTCAAAAGAAATCTCCAGCATAGTGAAAAGAAAACCCACAAACTGGGAAAAGATTTTAGTGAACTCTCTCTCAGACAAGGGCCTCTTGTCTAAAACATATAAAGAATTAAAGAAACTCAGACCTCCAAAATTCAAAGATCCAATCCAAAAATGGGCATCTGAGATGAATACGCAATTCTCAGATGAAGAAATGCAAATGGCAAATAAACACATGAAAAAATGCTCATCATCATTGGTCATTAGAGAAATGCAAATTAAAACCACACTGAGATACCATCTCACTCCTGAAAGAATGGCCAGGATCAAGAAAACCAACAACAACAAATGCTGGAGAGGCTGTGGGGAAAAAGGAACTCTCCTGCACTGCTGGTGGGAGTGTAGACTGGTACAGCCTTTGTGGAGATCTGTCTGGAGATTTCTCAAAAAGTTGGGATTGGAAATCCCATTTATTCCAGCTATTCCACTTCTAGGCATATTCCCAGAAGAACTGAAAGCATCATACCACAGTGATATATGTGCACCTATGTTTATAGCAGCACAATTTGTAATCACCAGATCTTGGAAACAACCCAAGTATCCATCAACTGAGGAATGGATAAAAAAGTTGTGGTATTTCTATACAATGGAGTATTATTCAGCTATAAAAAAGGATCACATTGAGATATTTATCAATAAATGGGCGCAGCTTGAGACCATACTCATAAGTGAAATAAATCAATCTCGCATGTGTGAATACCGAATAGTTTCCCTAATGTAAGTAATGATTCAAATATATAAAAATATGTGGTAATCATGATTCCCCATTAGGTGGCCTTGAAGCCTTATAAAGTTTTCACTCATTAATTAGAAAGGCTTTATTCTGGGCTTCTTGATACGGAAATATTTGAAGCTAGAGTATATGAAGTTTTATCCAAATATTTCAAGGAAAAAGACATACACTATGGTAACTACTATTAAGTCAGGTAATATGGTGGTGAAGTACTAGGTTGCTGAAACAGTCATGCTTTGACCTCTATTGTTATATTGTTATGTCCTGTTTTATCTCAATCTCCCCCTTATTCTTTAAAAAAAATTATTTAGTCATTTCTTATGTTTGTCTTAACGGAAAAAATTTTAAAAATTAGGATATATATATAGTAACTCTTTTTGATTTCCTATTAACTTGTTTTGAAGTCCTGTAATACTTCCACGATCTTGTTTTGACTGATTAGACTCTGTTCCATTCTGTATGATAGTATCAAGTTTAAGGATATAGGCAACTACTTTGAAGGCAATAAGATTCACTAAGATGCCCATTCTGGTTTGACTATTGTCTTCTTTGGAAGTCCTGTAATGTTTACAATGCCTAAGTTTTATTGGTCTTGTTCTCTACTGTTTTGTCCAACTTTATAATATTTAATGAGATAGACAACTCTTTTTAAGGAAACAAAAGACAACGTTAATAACCATTGTTGATAACCTTGTGCTCTGTTCTACACCATGTGCTATGTCTATCCTTAGTTTTGACTAACAGCTTTGTTTTGCCATATTTGACTGTATTCTCTCCCCCCCAAAAAAAGTAATAAGCACTAAGGAGTAATAAAATCCAAAACGTGTAAATTTTGTTGTAAAAAAGAGAGGGAAAAAAATAAAAAAGAGCTCTAACGGATATAACAGCAAGTGTGTTTAGGGGTGTTAAATAGCTGACTATATCAATGTTTTTGGATCATTGAACACAGCTGTTTGCAGTCTCCCTGTTTGAATGTCCACCTTGTATTCTTTGATACTGTCATTTGAGCAACTATTTTCAAGATGATAATATGTAATCTATTAACAGGTGATTTCTTACTGTTATGTTTTTTTTTTGTAGTTCTGTATTATGTGTACCCTTACACCGCTTTGTTTTGTTTTGTGTTTTTCTCTTTTTCCTCTTAAATAAAATTTTAAAAAATTTTTTTCTTTGTCAGTATTTTAAAAATAAAAAAAATTAAATCAAGTTGATTACTGTTGACAGAGAGAAAGAGACAGAGAGCTGTGTGCAGGGATTACCTCACAAACCATAACCCATGATCCATAAAACCTGCTTGCTGTCCTGCTGAAGGAGTTCTGGAGTTCTGCTTGTCGTTGCGTGATCTAAGTGATCTATAAACTTGCACTCACAGACAATATTTGAGAATATAAGAAACCAGGGCTAAAAAAGATAAGAATCCAGAGATTGTACACCTTTAAAATTATCATTAATCAGTCCAACAGGGCACACTCTGGTCTTAGTTCAGCTTGCTTTTTATGACAGTAAGAACAACCCCACTCAATGCCAAATTTAAAAGAAAATAACTTCATCATTCTCTCAAATAAAGTAACTATCCTTCATTTTGCAGACCTTTAAAGTTCTGACTGATGAAATGCCAAGTATCAATTTATCGTCTCTAATCCATACTAATTTTTAGTTTCTTCCATGAGAACGGTGCCTTAAAAACCTGAAATCTTTCTCAGTGATACTGGGTTTAGTTAGCCAATGCTCTGTGTGTTCTGCAAAGATGATTTTATTCTATCGTGATATTGCCTGCATTTCATTTTTATTTAAACGTTAGAAAACCTGAATGTACATACTATTTAGCAGCACTGCTTTTTCTCCCCTTTGGTGTCTTAGAGGCAAAGGTAACACCAACTTTCTTGACTTTAAAATATCATCTGTACAAAACATTTACATTCTTATTTCTGAATCCCAAGAGCTATGCTGGAAATATCACCTATATGAAAATTTTAACAGATATTGGTGAAAGAAGGAAGTACTTGTCTAGCGTCACGTATCTTGCTTGTGGAAGAGCTAGAACTCAAATTAGATTTTCTGTTCCCCTTAAAATTGTTCCCCTTCTAGAATAGGAATGTGTTTTGACGAACAAGCACTTAGAGAAATTCCCCTCTTGCCCTGTTTTTGGATTTCCAAAAATGTCAATTCACTGTGAAGCAGTCACCCCGTTTCAGATTAAGAAAGGGGAGTTGGCAGCAGCATTTCTGTTTGGTTTGATGCCACCTAGTGGCGCTTGTCCTCAGTGGCCTAAACAGGGAGGTGGGAATTTGGCTGACACTTCGAGGAGTGCAGCGTCTCCAGATCACAGCTCTCGAATTTTCACTTTTAGCATCCCCTAGGAGTAAAAACTGGTTCACCCTGAATCAGGAAGTGCCTCTAAGGCGAACCCACGATGAAGGGGCGCCCTGAATCAGTCAGCGTAGGATGCAAATCTGTGGCTCCATTGCCTGTTGTGACACCAAACACACAGGACTAGCGTTGGCAGTGGCCTGGAGAGATGCTGACTGCTGCTCTTTTGACACAAAGTGCAAGAGAAGAGAAAAGGGCGTCTGTCCTTAACGACTGCAGGCCGCTTACTTACCTCCGGGACAGTGACCTTCGAAAGGGACGAGCCAGGGAAGCCGAGAGTCAGGAGACATCCAGGAGTGCGGGCGAGTGTGTGCACAATGACCCCAGAGCGAGGGGTCCATTTCCTCCCGGTCCCAGGCCGCAGAGCCGGACTTTCTCGCGACCCACCTCCAGGGGGCGACACACCGCGATGTGGCCGCGGGCCCAGAGACTCAGGGACCAGAGCCACCTGCCGCTTCGCGCGCCGCTGCTCTTACCTCCAGGTAGTACAGGTCCAAGGTGGTGATCTGTGAGTCCAGGAAATCCTCATAGGTGTTGAACTGTGTGACTATGTTGTCCAGACTAGTGAGTCCGTCGTCCTGGTTCATGGCGGTTGCTGGGGGACAAGCGTCCTTAGAGACAGCAGCCTGGGGCGGGGCCGGTTAGCTCCACCCAGCCAGATCTGTCCAATCGTTGGAGGATGTGTTGAGCTGGTCGCGCTAGTCCCGCCCCCTACTCCCACCCCTACCCCCAAGTTTTGTTACTGGCTTAACTCCTGGAAAAACCGCCTGGAATCACCTGCGTCCAAATCAGGTCTGACACTAGCCGCCTGACTCCCTTCTTGGAGAAATGTGGAACCGGGTGGAGAGGCGAGCTCCAATCTAGAGAGAAGTGTGACGTTGCGGGAAAGTTCAGACACGACGTTGTGGATAAGCACTTCCAATCCCATTCTAAATCAATGCTATGCTGGATGAAAATACAGACGTATTTCCCAAGAAGAGTATCTCAAAACAAGCTTGTGACCAAGGCCAAAAATATATACAGTAATGATTTTGATTCATATTTTTTAAAATTATTATTTAAAAGTAAATTATTGATATAGTTTGAGTGTAAACAACTTGATAAATTTCCCAAATGAACGAACCACAATGACAATATCTTTGAAGCAGTCTTTTGGCACCAACTGCTTGCTTTTTCATTTTGTTTCTTTAATTCTTACTATTCAAATTTCAGAGAAAACACCTTGTTGAAGCTCTCTCCCTTTTTTTAGAAATTTAAAATATCCGGAAACTCGGTAAAGATTTTTCGTTACAAATTTTTATTCTCCTTGAGAAGAAACTTTCTTTTATTTTTTATATATGGATTTAAAGAAATTCAAGACAACTGGCAAATGGTTTCAGAACTCATTGTTAGGTTTTAATATTTTTCAAATCACCTCTGAAAATTAAAATATATTACAGTGCTATGCCTGTAGTGGTTGCTAAGTACTTACTGGATACATTTAGAAAGTTTTCACAGAGGTACTAAAAATTTTTAATGAAAACATGTAATAAAATATTCCATTTTAATGGTCAGGGATTTAGCTCAGCAGTGTAAGTGCCTGCCTGGCAAGTGCAAGGTTGTGTTTGATCCCCAGTACATGTTTATACAATCTTTCCAGGGCATCTCAAAAAGTATGATGCAATGAATGTATGATATTACTGACTTGTTTTAATGAATATATTCAGAAATGTTTTAAAAAGTACTTTGGACTTCATTTTTAAATGCAGCTTAATCATTGAATTTGGAAGAACAAGAGAGAGAAGCAATACTTAATGCATGTAATAATAATAGTAACAACATACAAATAGCCTCATTAGCTAGTATTTATCAAATGAGTAAATATTGACATTGTCTAGTATCTAACAAAGATAAGGAAATTCAAAATGCCCAAGAATGGAGACAGGTACCCTATCTTCAAATTTATAGGGCACCTTGGTCTCAGTACTGTTATGTTCGAGCATTCTATGAGTCTCTCCTGGAAAGGCATTATTCTAAGTAAATCTTAGAAAACTCAGTCACTTAGATATACTGTATTTGTTTGGTATAATAATATGTAACATAATATCACCATGTACCAACCCTATTCTATAAACCTTATATGAAATACCTCATTCAATCATGAAAACAAACTTACTAGGAAAATAATATTGGTGTTATTCTCAATCTAGGCACAAAATGATTTTAAATGATTTTGACAAAGTTACAATGAAAACATTTGCACACACACAACTTATTATCAGCACCTTTTACTCCCAGTCTCACACAAGAACAGAGGTAAAGAGTTGTTTTCAACAGCCACATAGAACTGGTTAGTCGCTTGTTCATCAGAAAAGAAGAAAAGTCAGCCAGTGATATGGAATGTGGACTGGTACTAATGTAAGGAGCGAAAGGATGGCATGTTCCCAGATGGAAAGGCCAAGAAGATTAAGTTCTCTGTAGGACAAAGCACAGGACTGTTTTACCATTATGAGGAGCCCAGGGGGGATGTGGAGGGGAGGAAGCTAATTAGATAGAGGTGAAAGCCAGTGGATAACTAGTGCAATGCTGGGTGGGAAAATTTGCTAAGGGCAACAGTCCAGTCCCTGAACTAAGACGACAGAAGGAAAATGAGCTTCCAGTGCTGTCTGTGCCCTGCTTGAATCTCTAAGGAACTCCTCTGTAGCACACTTGTTTTGAAGTCCTGCACATCAGGGTTTCCTTGTTTTCATGAAACAGGAAAGGGTATACAGAATATCTGAATTCACAAATCTAACATACTTTGTTTACAAGTTTCTATGTTAGTAAAACATAGGGTCATTGTTTGCCTATGCATCGTTTTAGCATAATCCATTGTGATAGGATATTTTCAATGAAATCTCATTAAATTAATCTTGTGGTCAATAGCACTTGAAATAATCCATAATATTAAACAATCATGAGTATTTTCAGGCAGTGAGTACACTAGCATAGTCCAGCTCAAAACAGTGATGGTGATTTTCAATAAACCAGCACTTACATTAATATTGAAAGACAAATTTATAACTTTAGCCTTATTCTCCACAGAAAGGATATAATTATGGTAAGCTTAATATCTCTTTTTCTAAACTTTCAGTGTAAGCTTCAGAAACACAAGGAGACCAGAGCCTGAAAAATTACATAAAAAGCCAGCAACGAAGAAATTAATGAGCTTCAGTAAATCCCTCTTTCCTATTACCAGGCCTTTGCTATGGTCAGAAAATATTTCATTTTGGATAACATGCATTCCTACTTCAAGTCCAGGATTTTTAAAGCCAGGATCCTGGAATTTAGCACCCCCAGAAATTCCATTCTTTGCAAAAAGACAAGCAAGGATTATGTATATTAACAACAAAACTCCAAGTCTGAGAGAGAAAATATATGCTATATAAAAATAATAAAAAGCATGCTATATTTAGGTTAGTTACTTATTGAAAAACAGTACAATATAAAAATAAAACTCATAGTAAAACCAAGCATAACTGTCTTTGAAATAAACAGGCTTTGGTACTAGCATGATGAAAAGATATAAAATAATTTCAAATTAAATTATTTTTTTATTCCCAAGTACTTATCAACATACTATGATGACTAGGAAAGTGAATAGAAAATACATTTTGGTGTGTTGACATTAAACAAAAGAGAATACCTCACTTATTATGATAATGAGATGCTAACTACTCTGAGTAAGAACTTGAGGCTCTCTTAAAGTGGACTTAATGTATTACTATATTGTAAGAAAGAAAAACATATGCTCACTCTAAATAAGATAAGATATTTGTGTCTGATATTGCCCAACTGCTTATTAAGTGTCTGTGATTGCAGATGAGGGCTATTGCTTAATCGCTATTCAAGGAGAGCTTTTTTGCACTTGGCAATAATGATGATGCTGAATTTATGTAAGTTATTTTTTGTGATGAGATCACTGAACTTCTATGAAGTCTCAGTTATCCTAAAGTGCTACAGTTCTGGTTCCACTGCTTCTCGGTGACGGAGACAGGATATTTTCATGTGTTCTAAATCACAAGTTTCTCCTCTCGTCAATATCTGACAGTATGAAAGGAAGTTTTCAGAAAAAAGACAAGTATGAGATGGAACTGCACCAGGACAGGCAGGGTCAGCAGCTGACAAACAATGAGAAGTATCATTGTGATGAGGCTAGATAAAGGATAAGGTGGCCAAGACCAAGTCTTCAGACTAGAGGAGAAAAAGTTGGCCTCCCACTGCCTCTGTAAGCTGTTCCTAACAACCTTGCTAAAGATTCCCTTCACCTCTGCGCTTATATGGAAATCACCTGACTCACCTGACTGGCTGAATATTCTTGGCTAACATATTATAAGAGACGAGAGGACCATCTCCGTTAATACAGAGATGTCAGTTTCAAGGGGTGCTCAAACACTTCACCTCCAACTATCTTTTTGTTTCTCTTATTCCTTAAAATTGCCTTTTATTTGTTTCTCTTATTCCTTTGATTTTGTATCTTCCTGCCTCAAAGTGGACTTTTTTAAGTCCTACTACCAAAGACAGTAAAAGTTAACTATATTGGATTTTCCTGCAATCAAAAACACAAGATTATGTGCATTTGATATGGACCCGTATCTCTTTTCTTTGTGCTTCAAAGGTCTTGCTAAACCTTCATTCTACACTGTACTTATCTTCTTCTCATTTTGATTATCCCATTGTAAGAAAATGTTAATTCATTTTTTCTCTCCCTCCCCCTTATTTTCTCCCTAAGCTCCAATTTAAAAAAGAAAATCATACCAAGCAAATAAATCCAAAAGCAAACCTCCTTCAAGTTCACAGTCAACTTCAGCTATAGACTGTCCTACACACCACTTCACAGGAAAATTTCTGGCAAAACTCATGTCCAGACACTCCTTTCCTTCCATTACCTTCCACTTGGGACTCAACGCATCTAATCCGAGTTTATAGACCGCTCCACTGAAACCATTTTCACCAATTTCATTTTTTGCCTCTATGCCGTTATGTTCAATAGATAATATTTTGTCCTCATGCTGCTTGACTATCAGCAGCATTTGACCATATGACTAATCCCTTCACTTCAAAATTCTCTTTGACCTCCACCACGCCAGCCTGCCCAGAGGTTGATAGCTGCTTCTTTTTAGTTTTCTTTGCTGAATCTTCCTCCCATTGACTTATTTTTAAAATTCTGAGTCTCAGAGTTTTCTGCTAGGACATCTTTCACTACTCACGCATGTCACTTGGAGGTCTCATCCATATCCATTGCTTTCGGTACTTACTATCTTACGTGCATCCGATTTCTTGATCTATATTGCTAGCCAGCCACTCTTCTGTATTCCAAGCAGATATCCAACTGCCTAGCAGACCCAAGTTGGCTATATCATGTGTCTAAAGTTGAATGTTTCCTCCGCCAGTGTTTCCTCTCTCAGCTTACTTGCCTCCTCTGCTCTCAGTGGTTCATGGAAGAAACCTGAAGGATTACCCTGACCTTGTCTCTCCATCATCCCTAAAATTTAAAATCTGCATGTTACTTTTCCAAATATATCTTTTAGAAATTTCAATTTCTCTCCAGACTCATCAATATGGTTTTCCTTGCCTAAGCCAAAGTCTGATACTTAAACGGCAGCAAT